GGGCTCCCCTCAGCCTCCTCTGCTCCAGGCTGAACCCCCCCAGCTCCCCCAGCCGCTCCCCAGCAGCCTGGGGCTCCAGACCCCTCCCCAGCTCTGCTGCCCTTCTCTGGACACGCTCCAGCCCCCCCAGGTCCTTTGGGGAGGGAGGGGCCCAACCCTGACCCCAGCATTCGAGGGGCGGCCCCCCCAGTGCCCAGCACAGGGGCACGGTCCCTGCCCTGCTCCTGCTGGCCACACCACTCCTGATACAAGCCAGGATGCCGTTGGCTTTCTTGCTTAGTTCTTTTTACCTAGTTCAGTACAGCTTCATGTTGAAGATTTATTTAAAAGCAACAGAAGAAACTTCAGCTGATGTACTTTCTTCAGAAAATGTCATTTTTTTAAGAGCAGGATTTCTTTTATTTTTGCTTTCTAATTTGGAAATACTGGAACAGAGCTCGTTTGTGTTTCCCAGATTTTTAGACTTGGAAAAATTATGAAACTTTTCAGAACAATTTTGGGGAAGCTTTTAAGTACAGGGAAAGTTGTTGGGAAAATGCTTTGCAATAAGGTCTACAGCATCTGTGTTACCAGAGCAGGTATAACCTGATTAAAATAACTAGATTCAGCTCGGTGAGAAGATGGGGTTGTTAGCCATGTCAGGCCATAGCAGCTGTGTTAAAGACTTGATGCTTTTATGTTCACCTGCAGAAATCCTCTTGTTTTCTAATGGAATTGTCTTTCCTTGCAGCTGGCTATGGGGAAGATGATGGAGCAGGGACCAGTATTAATCATCACTTTTCAAGCTCAGGTCGTGATGGTAATTAAGAACCAGAAAGGGGAAGTGGTGGAAGGTGATCCGGTAAGTGATGCTCGTCGGCTGTGTACGGCTTCCCTGGGTCCCCTGATAGCCATCTCGGTCGTTACAGGTTCATCTGGGTGCCTCTGGGCGTCCGTATGACATGTGCTGGTACGCAGAATCTTGCATCTTGTGGGTCGGGTCTGGTTCAGCTCAGTGCAGGCTATTTATTCCTGTCAGACTCCAAGTGTTACGACCCATTAATCGAAAAGTACTGTATATAAGGAGAGTCTGCAAATATCTAGAATGGGCAGAAAAAGGGATATTTTAAATTCACAGTGGGAAGAGGAGCTGGAGCTACAACCACTGGCAGCGCTTGCTCTTCCAGTTGTTGGTGCTGCGCCCGGCCAGCACGCTCCCTGCCTGCAGTTGTCTCCTGCAAGTTCTGCTCCTTTGGCACCTTCTGGGACGTGTCCTGCTGTCAAAGCTCCATTGCACAGCTTCCACCTGATCCCTGTTCTTTTTTTCTCCCTTTTCCTTTCACAAAGTGCACTGTAAGAACAGAGCACAAAGTGTTTGGTAAACAGGGCGGGAGCTGGAGTTAAGTCATTTGCAGGAGATAGGGAGAATCACCAAAATCAACTGGAAGTAGAAGTTCATGTTTTTGGCTGCTGTCTCCCTACACAAGTACAAAATGTCTTACGGTGCTGCAAGCCTTTACTTACTGAAACTCCCCCATATCCAGTTGGGTTAAATGCTGTGCATGGTACAGGCTTCTAACGGGAACCTCTGACACAGGGTGATTTGTGCAGCAAATCCCTGGCCTCCCTCTGGATTGTACTTGGCTGTGGTTTAGCTTTTAACACCGCAAATCCAGCCGGCATGTTCTGTTGGGAGTGATGCTGGATTGAGCCCGTCAGATGTAACCACAGGATATGCTTGTCACCAGAGTTAATGACACAGCAGGCTCGAGGAGCCCGTGCGTTTTCGGCAATACCTTTGTTCTCAAGTGGCTCCCTAATCCAGACAGCTCTGGCTTGCATCGTGTCTGTGCAATGTTTAAGGAGCTTAATGATATATAATGGGGGACATTGTGAGATGCCTGGAGCTGGCAGTTTCTAGCAGACTTCCATTAAAATGAATACATGCATTTAATAACTGTTGGCTTTTTGCAACCATTCTTTTTAGTCCAGGCTGTGAGTTTACAAAAAAAGTGACTAATTTTAATGATGGGGCCCATCTGGGCTGATATACAACCTGTCACATCGACTGCAGGGGAGGAACAGCTGATATAGTGATTTCTTGCATTAAATTACTGCATTCCTAGAAGATAGATATTGATGTGATAATTATTGAACAGGATATCAAAGTCTGTTTGCTGTCTGATTTCTCTGGAGCAGCAATAAATCAAGGAGATGCATTAAAATTCTCCATTGGAAACAAAACTTCGGCTTTAATCAAACGTCAGGTGCAGGCTGACTGTTAACTATGATTTGGTGTTAACTGCTGAGCCGCTCCTGCGGCGTATTGAACAAATGACATTCTAGGGAAAAGGAGCCTCAAACTGTAAACCCTAAATAAAAATCTTACGCTTGCAATTGCTGCGGTATTTTACCTGGTCGCAGTTGTTCAAGTTCCCACTGCTGCGTTGCAAGCTCACCCCTCGTGAGACGTGACGGGGTTGGACCCCATGGAGCACCACAAAAATCAATCTGGGAAAATGAGGCCTTAGACAACCCAGCGAGCAATGCTGTGAAGTCGAGGGAATCTTTTTAAAATTAGGTCCTGAAGGACTGTGAGACAGGATGCTGTTTGTCCTAGCAGGCTGTGGGATTAAAGGACAAATTTTTGCCTTGCATGCATGGCCACGGTAGAAATCTGCCTTTGGGAGACCATGAGTTTGCTGCCCCGCTTTCTGTGAATATATGCAGCAGCATGCACTGGATTAAGCTGTACCCTATTAATAAAAGCACCAGATCAGAAACCCAGAAATCTCTCCGCTTTGGAAACACGTAATTTTTATGTTTCATCACGTCTCGTTTCCAGGGAGAAAGCTGTGTGACTTGTTCAGTACTGCATGCTGCGAGATCACCAGCGATCCTGAGCTTATCTGCTATTCATCCCTTCAGAAATCCTCTGTTCAAGAACATAAACTTTTCCAGATGTAACAGAGCTTTGATGCTGAAGTGCGTGATTAAATTGCCTCTCATCCACAGTCTTAGGAAATGGGCCTTGAAAATCACAAATTACAAAAATCATACAAATTAAGGCAATGGTAAATCAGTTGTGTTGCCCACTTCATCTTGAACTTAGTGTTTGGTACTCAGAGAAGCTCTGTTAGCGTTGCTGTGGCACAGCCTGTCTCGAAGCAGGCAAAAGCTTTGTTGTTTTCCTTCTCTTGTCCCCTCTGCTGTTCCTTCTGACATATCCCAGACATCTCTGTCACTCGAGTCTTCAATCACTTTAACTTGCTTCAGCTCTGCTCAGAAGTTTTAAATCTTCTGAAACACTGAGCAAGAAAAAAAAAAGACTTTATGATATGTGATATTTCTAAAGCATTAAGCATTCATTTTCTAATGACTGGTCTGGTACAGAAAGTCTCCCCCCTCACATTTGTGTACCTAAATTATAACCCATAAAGATTCACACATTTGATCAAAAATGTAGTAGCTAAGTACACAGCTGGGAGCTGAGCCAATGTGCAGTCTGATCCCCCGGTGATACTTCCTTATCTGAGGAAATGCTCTCCGTGGTTAATGGTTAAATGATAACATTGAAATAACCTTTGATTTGCAGAATGGATCTGTGACACTGTGCCAGATCTGGGCCCCGGGCAGCCCAGGCTCTGCTGGGCACTGTCACCTCTTTCTTGGGAGAGGCAGAGACTCTTGGGGACTTGTTTTCATAAGAGTGATGGCCTCAGGATGTGCTGGGATACGGCTTTCATCTTTATTCCCTTCCTATGAACAAAACTGCTGGCGTTCTCGTTACACGCATCAAGGACGGAAAAGCCTGCGGTTCTGTTTCAGTCTGTAACCCTGTGCGGCGAAAGCGCCGTCTGCACAGCAAAGATTTGATTGCAGAATTAGCATGTGTCCATGGCTAACGCTGCGGCTGGGCTTGGCATGATCTGGTTTTCACTGATAAATGTTGGGGTTTTTTACTCTCTGTCTCTCCTCAGACTTGGTGATGATAATTTCTGGATCATTTGAGCTGTTCAAGTTAAAGTGTGAGAGCTGGTGGTAGAGCTGTGGGGAGGGGATGCAGCTCACAGGCAGAGTTAGAGCCGCAGGGAAGAGCCTAAACTTGATCAGAGGTTCCAGAGAGCAGTACAGCCCGGCGGCCTGACCAATTTGAAACCAGAAATTTGTATTTAAAAATAAGGTCAAATATTATCAAACTTGGCAGTGGTGCCACTTAATGTGTGTCGGCCAGAGGTATTTGGAAACCCCAATTCTGTTTTAGGAAATCAAAAGTTTATCTCTCCCTGACTGTGATAAATTCCGAAGCACAATCCAGTGGATGTTGCTGGAGCTATCCTCATTCGGGACCTTCGGGCTTAGAACCAGAGAGCAAATTGGCAAGAGCGATCTGTGGAGGAGGTGTGGAGCACGCACCCATCTGCTCCGGGCTAGGTCTGTGACCATCACACACGCTCTAACAACAGGATTTTCCTTCCAGGACAAGGTTCTGCGGATGCTGTACGTGTGGGCCCTCTGCAGAGACCAGGATGAACTCAACCCCTACGCTGCGTGGAGGTTGTTGGACATTTCTTCATCGAGCACCGAGCAGGTTCTCTGAGCAGAATCGCATCCAAGGGCTTCCTGTACCTCTCTTGAAGCAACACCATCTCTGAACTTGCACCAGTCTGCTGTAGCATGGACTGTGGGGGAAAGAGGCCAGACTGGTTGCTTTTCAGAAGGACAGGCTATTTGGTGTGCCCTCATTATACCAATTCCCTGTAATGAACTGGACGAGTCTGACGTATCTGCCTTACGCTTTGCTGTGTAGTATTGCACTGTAAGGATGTACGGTGGATTGCAACGTGAATGGTCTAAGACACTAGCAGCTGCTGTTGGCTCCTTTTTTAATTGTGCTGAAGGAGACTGGTTTGGGTCCTGTATGCTTCCCAGTGCTTCCAGTGATGGATGGAGGTGGGTACCGGAGAGCGAGATGCGACAGGTCTAGTTCCCATCTGCTGTCATCCTCTGGTGGCCTCAAAGCATTCCTGAAAAGATCTTAGAGGTGCTTGTAAGGCATGTTGGTCTGAGCTAACGCCTGTCTCTTGTACAGAGTTGCACCGATAAGCCTTCTGTTGCTGCAGTGTCTTGCACTTTACCAAACCAAATACAATCAGGACTTTGCACATGGCTCTTTGTTGGCGTGGAGCGGAGTCGGGATGGAGGAGTTGGCATCATCAGGCAGGTTCTCGAGGCCAATGGCGGGGTGGGGGGCGTTTGCTGCCAGTGATAATATTTATATAGCCACAGCTTTGCAGGGGGACAGTTATTGTTTCTGGTGTTCTGTTCATCGTGTTGGCTGGTACCGCAAAAGAGCGCACAACCGCATTTCTCTGCTGGGTTAATTGGATGGTGCGGAGGAGAGAGGCTACGAGGAAGCAGGCAGAGCGCTAGAACAGTGGTCAGGAGTAGGGATGGACAGAACAGCAACAAATCGGTCAATAAAATGCAGTAACAGGTAGAGAACATCACCTCTTGTAGCTGAGGTGTTTATGATGTGAGATGAGAAAAGAGGGCGCAGTTCACACGCACTTTTACCGTGTGAAGCGCGTTACGAGCGTGGCTTTCTTCGCCAGATGGACTCGTGCTTCCTGGGGATGGCACGTGTGGCCTGGGGGCCCAGGTAGCAATGGGAAGACGTCAGAGGGTGAGCTGCTGGCACACTTACACCGCTTCTAGGTTTTGGGCTTCTGCTGGAGGCTCAGTTTGGGAGCTGTGATGTGGGTCGATTCGTCAGCTGCCTCCTCGTAATGGAGAGTGAGGTTGGGGGAAAAAAAATATTGATTGTGGAATAGGAAATCAAAGGACTGATCTGCTGCTGTGTTCTGCCTGTGCACAGAAAAGGATGATGCAGGGCAGCACTTCCTTGACAGTGCGATTAAAGGGAATAATTGCCAGTTCTTCCTTTTCCTCCGAGCGTCCAGATCAGTTCCTTTGAATGTAGATGAGATTATCTCACAGCCCGTGGGTGAGACATGTAACTCTAGCAGCTATCTTGGAGTGAGAGGTGATGAGGGTGGCAAATTCAATAGCAGAGTCTGCCCTGTCCCCTTAGGAGATGGCCAGACCTGCCTGGCTGCCATGCCAGGTATTTCTGCCGCTCACGGGGCGGGCTGCAGGTGGGACATGGTCCCTGCTGCCTCCCTCATCACAGTTTTCTCGCTGGTGCTTTTGCCAGTGAAATAATTCCAGGTTTTCACTCAAATATCTTAAACGCTAGCATGCAAACTAAAGATCTGAACAGAAATCGGCTGTGAGATAGGGGATCCCTGTACCTGGCTGCCCTCAGAAATGGTGGATGAATGTTTGATGTGGGCCTCATTCAGCGAGGCTCTTTCTGGGACACATCCCATCTAACAGCTCTGCACGCAGGCTGTATTGTGTGTGCAGCATCTTACCCTTTATTTGAACATCGCTCAGCACAAACGTGGTGTTTTTGATGAGCGCAAGTGAATGCCTTTGAGATGCTTGAACCTCATCAGGGATGGGGGAAAGTCTTGTCACCAAGACCACGCAGAAATTAAGGCAGTGCCTTCCAAAAATAAAGACTGGTCATCTGCCCTGCTTCCGCCGTCGCCACAGATCCGATAGGATTCTCCAACAGCCCGGGTATGTATATGCAACCTGTTGTCCAGGTCTTTTGGGATGCTTCTGTGAAGTGCGTGCAAAAATTCTTTTACTCTGTGTGCTTTTTCACTTTTTCTAACTGGTGTTGGGGGAGGGGAAAAAAAAAAGATCTGAATCAAGAGTGTAAAAGTAATTGGTCTGCCCAGAAGAGCTGCTGTAACCCAGCTGTGGTGGGTTAGCAAATCTCGTGTTGCTTGGCTTAACCTGTGAATGCTGGGTCACTGTCTGCACTGGCAGTGCAGAGGGGCAGAGCTCTGGTTCTCCGGTGATACCACTGCAGTATTCGGAAAAATCCTTCCCTGCACGGCAAGTTGTGCTGGGTGCTCCCTATGGGGGCTTCTGGCATGTACATGGGATGTTCCCAGCCTTGCTCGCTGCTCCTTAGCAGCTTTTCTGCAGAGATGCAGTGGCTCGAAGGCAGTTACCCAAACAAAATGAGATTTCAGCTGTGGAGGAGGAGTGAGGGTTAACCACCGTGAGCTCTGTACTGGTGACTGCTGCATCTGCCAGGCCTTCACCACAGTCTGGTCTGCAGCGTGGGTTTGTTGGTCGCCTCGGGATTCAAGGTGACTCTGTGCTAAGCCCACCTCTTGGTTTTCTCGCAAAATTGGTGCATGATCCGGGGCCTGGGAAGCTGGGGGTTGCTCCTCCCCGTGAGCAAGCTGGTGAGCTGCTGTCCTGGCTGGGTCAGAGAGCCCCAGGACCCAAGAGGGAGCTTCAAGAAGCAGCAGAAATCACAACTGCTACAATGACCCATCTCTAAGCTCTGCTTGGAGAGCTCCGTAGTGGTGGTGGGAGAGGTGGAGGCTCCCCCTGCCTGGCTCTTCTTCTCTTGAACCTTTGCCCAAGCTTAGACTTGGGTGGAGCCAGGGACTCCAAACTCCCATCCCTTTTGGATGCTGTTAGGTGCTGGGGTGCATCTCTGGGCATCTCGGATCTGCTGCTTTGCTTGGCAGAGCCTCACTGGGATGGGATGGGATGGGATGGGATGGGATGGGATGGGATGGGATGGGATGGGATGGGATGGGATGGGATGGGATGGGATGGGATGGGATGGGATGGGGGTGGGAGCCTTGCCGCTCGCCAGCCTTCTGAAACCCCTTTCCCCATGTCCTGTGGGTCATGATGAGCATCCTCTAGCACGTGGGGAGGTGTCTCTGTGGGCAGGATCCTGCCCGAGGAGGAGCCCGTTTCCCCCTTGCCCTGGGACATCCCTCATCCCCAGGCAATCTCCTAGGAGGTACAGATAGTTTGGACAGAAAGGCAGTGCTTAGCCTGCATGTAAGCAGGAGGAGGATTTTAAATTATTTTTAAATACTTCTCCTGAGTGAGCAGATTTATGGTGGGCTGCAAATATTTTGCAGCACTGAGTTATAGTAGCGCCGCACAGGCCTGAGCTTGCTGGCAGCCACCACGATGGCGCTGCTGTAAAGGCATCGGTGTGTGCAGAGGTCTTGGTGGTGCTTATAAATCGCTCTAAAAAAAGGATAATGAGTCAAATTGGTACAGGGAGAGCACCTGGGACAGGGAGATCTGCACCCATGGGCTGCATCTTGGGGCGCAGCCTCTCCAGCCTGGTCGATGGGATATTAAATGTAATAGATGATGATGATGATAATAATAATAATAATAATACCTGCTCTGTCCCCAGGGCAAAGGGCAGAGCTTCATGGGGATGAAGGTCTTGCACAGGGCTCTAGGACGGGGCTGGGGTTGAGATGCAGCTGAGTTAGCCGTGGTAGGGCAGGACCTCTGAAGGCGCAGGTCCAGGTTCCTGCTTGGAGCAGCCTGGTGCAGTTTTGGAGATGCCAAAGGATGGATGTGGGACCTGGAATTGGTTAATCCTGGAGCCAGAGGACCACCGTGGCACGCTTTGTCTGCCTGATGCCTTTATATCTGCTGGCGATGCCCTTGTTGATGCCCCCCAGCACCCTGTTGGCCTTGGCTGCAGCAGCACCCTGCTCACTCCTGTGGAGCTTGTTGGCCACCAGGACCCCCAGGTCCCTTATCACAGAGCTGCTCCTCAGCCGGGTGGGTCCCAGCCCGTGCTGCACTCGTGGATTATGTTTTCCCAGGTGCAAGACCTTACACTTGTCTGTGTTGAAGTTCATAAGGTTCTTGGTAGCCCACTCTTCCAACCTCTCCAGATCTTCCTGCAGGGAAGCCTGCAGCCTCCCTAGGTCTTTGCAGGGCTTCCTGAGCTGGATGGCCCTGACATGGGACAGCTCTCGTAGGTGTCCTCGGCTCCCGGGAGTGATTGCAGCTCGTGGCGATGGGATGCTAGAGCCAGTTTCTGTGGTCTTGGCTGGGCTGGGGCCACATGGCTGGGGTCACTAAGGAGGTGTTGGAGTGTGCTTTAAACACGCAACCCCACCTAGGCTCTAGCTCCTGGGCACCTTCCTGAGCAGCAGCACAGGGCTCAGCTGCAGGACCCTGGCCCAGCAGGGATGAGGCAGATGCAGAAACAATTTTGGCCGGCGGTGCGAGTTCCCCGTTCCTCAGGCAGGGATGGGTTTGCACTTGGGTCAATGCGGTGGGGGCCAGGCTCGGTGAGCTGAGCCCATCGTTTGCTTGAAGGTTTTGGCCTCGCAAAGGGCAACTTTTTCTCCTTTTCCCCACCAAGGAGAAGCAGCTGGCAGGAGAGGATGCTCAGCAGTGGGACGCCTCTGCTAGCAGCGGGGGCGGTGTGTCACCAGAAGCACATGAGATTCAGCGTTGCGGGGATGTTTGGGTGAATGAGGGTGACTTAACCCAACAGGCAGGGATGGGTTTGCACTTGGGTCAATGCTGAACCACTGGTGCCTTGCGGTGGGGGCCAGGCTCGGTGAGCTGAGCCCATCGTTTGCTTGAAGGTTTTGGCCTCGCAAAGGGCAACTTTTTCTCCTTTTCCCCACCAAGGAGAAGCAGCTGGCAGGAGAGGATGCTCGGCAGTGGGACGCCTCTGCTAGCAGCGGGGGCGGTGTGTCACCAGAAGCACATGAGATTCAGCGTTGCGGGGATGTTTGGGTGAATGAGGGTGACTTAACCCAACTCTCTGGTGTTTGGGGACATTACTGTCCTTGTCACATGCCAGCCCCGAGCCTGTTCTGGTTCCTGGCAGTCCTTTGGAGCTGCCGCTGCTTGGCTCGGCGCAGGGGGTTATTTAATGCATTTCTCTCCATTAGCAGGGTGTCAGATCAGGGCGATAGGAATTACAGCCTCGCAGGCTAAGCCTGCTGTATCTGGGGGCTCAGTTCTGCTCCACTGACCCTGTTCCCAATTACCTGGATGTGATCTATACTGTACGATGCTGGCAGACACGTTCCTCCCCCCTCCTCCCCAGCCCCTGTCCCTCGACGGCCTCATCGGTGCTGTGGTGTGGGGGAAGAGGTGGCTGGAGATGCTGGGGAGGCTGTGGGAACCAAGAGCTGGCAGGCTGGGACCAGGGACCCGCAGGAAGCCTGGCTGTATCCGCTCTGTCCTTGACGGAGACCCCCAGGGAGCAGGGTTGCTGCTGGTGCTGAGGATGCTGATGGTGGGACCAGTTTAACCAGTGGCCAGCCCCTCACTGGAGGGACATCCGAGGAGGCCACGCGTCCTCTCTGGCCCTGAGCAGCACCCTTCTCCATCCTGGATGCTGAGGGTGCTGAGCCAGCCTCTCACCTGCTGAGCTCCTTGCTCACCTTCTCTGTATGAAAGCTGGGTGGGGGTAATTGGTGGAGCGGCTGCAGCATTGCGGGGGGCTCGTTGGCAGGGCTAGCGGGGCTAGCAGAGAGAGCGCTGTGTTTTGGGGGCCAGTATCCTAGAATCAGTAATATCCTTCTTGGGGAGAGGGAGGCAGAGTTGTTGGAGCCCATGGTGCCAGGACCGCAGCTGAACCCCTCTGCCAGCCTCCGCCAGGCTGTGTCCTGGGGGCTGGATTTGCCCTCGGGGAGGGCAGTGCCATGGCATGGCAGAAAGAATAAGGCTTTGGGAAGGCAAAGCCCGAACTGGAAGGCAGAAGAGGGACTAGAGCAGCCCAAGGGATGGACAGAAGGATCCATGGGTGCCAGCCTGAGGCGATGGGGCTTTGCGGTGCTGGCAACGCTTCTGGGGCAGCCTGGCATCCCAAGCCTGGCGTAGCCCCATCCAGCTGCCAAAATTTGCTGTGGGGAGAAGACCTCCCCTCCTTCAGTGCCCTGGTGAGTGGCACCAAGGTGGTGCAGACCCTGTGAGCCTTGCACCGGTGGTTTGGGGATGCTGGCAGCCTGGGACACCAACCATCCTTCCCTGGCATTAGGAGACAGCGCAGCCCTGCATTCTGAAGCCCAGGGGACCGTTTGCTGGTGTGAATTTGCATTCCATGAATAACGGATGAAGGATAATTTGCTGTAATTAGGGCCTGAACCCTGCCAAAGTGGAGGGGTTTTGGGCTAAGCCAATTAATGGCGGCGCGTGGCAGCGTTTAACGAGCTCGGGGAGGCTGCGTGCTGCAGGTCGCTGCGGCAGGGGGACAGCAATTACCCTGGGTGACGAAGCGCTGCCCAATTACTCATCAGGTACAAAGAGGCTCTTGGGTTTATCCCGAGTGATTCCGTAGGGCCAGGGCAGGGGCAAGGGGGGATGAGTCTGCAGCAGACGGCGCATGCAAGAGCCCGATGGGGCTGTTTGAGACCCTGGATGAGGTCCCCCCAGCAAAGAGCCCCATCCCTGGGTAGGGGGGTCCTCATCACCATCCCAGCAGGGATCCAGCCCAGGATGCAGCGTGAGGGGCACCCACAAACCTGAGCAGGGACGTAGGTGCTGGTCCATTGCTCCATCAGGTGCAGCGTCCCACAACAGGGGGACGCAGGATGGCACGCGCGGCCCCTGCACCAGGCTCTGATTTTTTAAAATTTTTTTCTCCCCAGTATTTGCCAAAACTCTTAAAAAAAGGCTCGTTATTTTCAGGAAATTAAACAATTTTTATGGGCAGAGGCTCTATTTAGAAATCATAAAGAAACAAACAAATAAAAATGTGTCCCGGCAGCTGTTTGGAATTAGCTTTTCATACAAAACTTTGATGGAAATCGTGATGTTCATTACAGAAATTTTCAATGGAAAATTTCAATCTTTTGTGGGAAAAAACCTAACCCCACCACTTCCCTGCTTGGATGTATTTGACCCAGTACAGGAAACGTGTTGGTATTTTCTTGAGAAATGTTATCATTTGGCTATACGAGCGTTGTTATATCGTGTCCTTGGGAAGGGGAGGATGGGGCAAGGCCACATCTTGCGTTACCCCTGCTCAGAAACACCGATGGCCTCGCTGCGATGAGACCTTTCGCTCCCCAGCGTTGCCAGTGGCCACTGATGTGTGGGCGCAGCCGGCCGCTGGTTAGGCAGCTCGGGCAGATTGATTTGGGGACGGGGCAGAAGCGATTGATTTGCTCGTTGGGAGACAGCTGGGATTGGAAGCAAAATACTCCCTGGGGTAACTTTGCTGCTGCTTTTCTCCCAGCGTGAGCTCCCCGGGCAGCTCAACCCTCCTGGCTGTGCCTGTGTGGAGGGGTGGGAGCACCCACCACCACCAAAGCCTGGGCTGGAGAAGGAGACCAAGGCTGTGGGATCTCCCTGGGGAGCCTTACTGGCAGCAAACCCACGGTTTCCTTGGCAGGGGCTCTGCCAGGTTGCGGCCCCAACCCCTTTCTGGGGCATTTTGTGATTGGGAAAGGCTCAAGGCTGTGTTGGAGAGTATCGGTGCCATGGCTGGAGTCCCAGGTGGGGGGATTTGGCAGTCCCTCATTCCCCTCCTCTGTCCATCTTCTGTCTTGGGCTTCTGCTGGCTTGTGAGCCCCATAACCAGGCGTGGGGTTGTGGTAGGCAATAGGGGCACGCAGGGTTTAGATGGCAACGGTAAAGCTTGTGATGCTTGTCCCCCAAAAAATGTCCTGGCTTTGCTCTTCATCGAACCCTGGCCAGA